AAAACTTTCATTTTACAAATAAAATAATAATAATAATTTTAGAAAGATATTCATGTATAGGCACACTTTATGCTCGTCTCATCAGAGTCATGTGAAATAAATTCAGTTGGGTTTGTTCATACTTTTGCTGGTATGACTCCAGTCACATTTCTCTGCAGGTCTCCCACGATGGCAGGTGGGCTGTTCGCCATGGACAGGAATTATTTTTATGAGCTTGGTCAGTATGACCGCGGCATGGACATCTGGGGTGGAGAGAACTTGGAGATCTCTTTTCGGGTAAATTTTGTCTACTTTTAAGATGCATTGTTTGGTTATTTATTTATTTATTTCTTACGAAACCCTGAGGGTTCATGAGGGGATTGCAGGAGTTGAAGTTAATAATTCAATTGAATTTAACATTAAAATAAACAAATGAGGCTACATAATTACTTGAAATAAAACTTGAAATAGCAGTCTTATCTTATAAAATTGTAATTACCAAATCAAAGGCTGCGATTTGAAGTATGTAGTCTGTTGCATGTTTCAAAGTGTTCATTTACACGCTTGCAGCTTTATAATAGTGTGTTTTCCGATTTCAGCTCTGTTCACCGTCAATACTGCTACTCACTAACTCCATCCCAGCAAACACTTTGAATTTAACATGCATTTGGAAATGCCGTGTGTTTAAATATTTGTATTGTAACTTGTAGTTCTCATTGGTTCTTGTAAAGAGTAACACCCTAAAAGTAAATATTTCCATTAGCAGTACTGTGTTTGTTATTTGCAGTAGCAATACAAAATTTCATTTAATATAAAAATGTCTCCTCGCATTTCAAATTGCAAGAGTCTATCTGTCTGTCTCACAACAAAAGCATTAGATATTTTGTTTGCATCTCATTTGGCCAATAACCGATATTAGAGAACTATGTAATTCTTCTCAGGGGGTTCTTCAAGTAAACATTTTGCATTTAAGTGGTTTGGCTGACAAAAAGGTTTGGGAACCCTTGGTTTAGACATTTTAATTTACTCTTGGTGATTAAAAATATACTCACTTGTTTTAAAATATTTTTTTCCATCAGATTTGGATGTGTGGAGGCCAGTTACTGATCGTTCCCTGCTCCAGGGTGGGGCACATCTTCCGCAAGCGTCGGCCCTATGGGTCACCCGGAGGTCAGGATACAATGGCCCACAATTCTCTGCGTTTGGCCCATGTCTGGATGGATGACTATAAGGTGGAGATCAATAGCATAATACTCTTATAAAATTAATAATAAAATGCTATACATGTTGCAAATAATACTTTAACTCTTCTATCTTTTAGTATTTCTATGTAAGAGAGCTTGCATTGTAATATGAGAAACTTGATTGTAGCACCACTATGTAATGGATTAGTTTCCTGGAAGAGTGGCCAGTTATACAGCATTGCCTGAATAAATGGACCACTGAATGCTGTGATTGACCAATCAGAATCAAGTATACCATAGAGCTGTGTAATATTAAACTTAGGTATACAGTGTTTTTTTTTTATCTTAAGTAGTGTGTTCATGTGCATTTGCAGAGGGATTCAAAGGTGATAATTGCTCAGTGTTTTCTTGTCAATATTGTAGTTTAGTTGTATTTTTTGAGCCAGGTCTGTGATTGAGGTTTGACGGTTTATTTAAAAAAAAAAATGTATTTGTCATGCCCCAATTTGCGGTCTGTAGTATTTGAACATGAATTGCTGAAAGTCAGAGTAGAGTGAGTCTGCAAATTTTGTGTAGTCAGAATTGACTTATTTCATAGAAAATGACAGTGCACGCAGACTAGGGATGTAACGATTCACTCAACTCACGATTCGATTCGATTCACGTTTTGTTTTTTTTACAAAATTAGATTTAAGACAAATTATAAATTAAATGTGTCCTTTTTTATTATTGCTTGGGCAAAATGCTGCACATTTCTTTGTGAAACTGAAATAACACTATAATAATATACTACTATAGCACTTGCATATTATTTCTCTTTCGTTGGTTTTGATTGCTTCTATTGTCCTCATTTGTAAGTCACTTTGGATAAAACCGTCTGCTAAATAACAAAATTTAAATATAATGTAAAATGTAAATAACAAAACTAAATTGAAATTTTAAAACAAGCCCCAAATCAAATAAATAAGTAACACAAATAAATCTCTTCATATAAACAAAATAAGGCTTTGTCTGTGCTCTTTCCATTTAAAATTAGAGGCAACCACTGCATTTTAATCATGATCCAAACAAAGATGCTGCATACATGAGCAGTTTTTAATCTAAATAAGATTGTATAATTCCGAAATTTGAAGCAAAAACAGAATTGTTTGACTTCAGTTTTGTGAAACTATACATAAAAATATCTGCATGAAACAGAAGACGAGCTGAACGAGATGCAGATTCACTCTCTGCCTGCAGGTGGCGCTTAAAGCGTTTCCTTGGTTTCCGCTGTAAACACAGCAGTGCTGCAGTCATGAACTTTAATATGCAGAGGCAAGATGAAAAGAAAAAATACCATCTAAACTTTTCTAAAGACAGTAAGTTCCCCTCTCCCCTCCATTAATATAAACTCCTACCCCTAATTGAATCGCGATTTGTTTAGCATCTCAACCGATTTGAATCGTCACATATTTGAATCGATTTTCAACTGGCTCGCAGTTAATCGTTACATCCCTAATCGATGCATTTTCAACCGGCTCGCGGTTAATCGTTACATCCCTAGCGCAGACTTTTATTTTCTAGGTTTATACTATGATTTCATGCAGTCGGGGTATCAAACATGTTTGATAGTTTGAGATGATTTAAAGGGGTCTTATGATGTTGCTAAAAAGAACATTATTTGGTGTAATGAAATGTGTTTATGCGGTTTAAGGCCTAGAGTGAGCAGAGGCCGGGGGTTTGAGTGAGCGGAGGCCGGTGGGCTTGAGAATGGCGCTGCCGGCGGATTCGACGAAGGAGCGTCCGGCGGGCTTGAGGCAACCACATGTGAGGGGTCGGGCTGGACTCCGCTTCGTCCACGGTGAAAGCCGATCCGGCGATCCACAGCGCGAAGTTGATGTATTTCCTCAGCGGAGGCCGGTGGGCTTGAGAACGGTGCGGCCGGCGGATTCGACGAAGGAGCGTCCGGCGGGCTTGAGGCAACCACATGTGACGACCCCGGGCTGGACTCCGCTTCGTCCATGGTGAAAGCTGATGGCGGCGGCGGCAACAATACTACAGCGAGAATAAAAGTTACGCCTTCTTTCTTTGCGTGAACATTTGGGCGGCGTTATGCAAATCTTCCCACATAGTGACGTAGATATCTGGGGGCGTGCTAGAACGAGCCGTTTGGCTGTCTCTTAACTTTTATAAAGAATATCTCTTTGGATTTGAGACTTTAGTCTTTGCAACTTTACAGATCTTCATTATGCACCAAGAGCTTGTAACACTCCAAAGAGAAAGGAAAAATTGAAATCGCATCATATGACCCCTTTAAGAACACATTGTTTTCATTTGTCATGTGTCTCCTAGCAATGAAAGGTGCATGTTTCTGCAGGAGTTTGTTGCGTTTTGATAGTCTGGTAAGATTTTTCTCAGTCAGCATGTGTATGATGCCCAGCGTTTCTACCATTTACAATTTTGGAAAGTGTGTGATACCTAGTGTTTTATAGAGATTGTGTATTGTATGCCACCCTTAAACTTGCAAAGTTTGACCTTTCAGACAGATGAGAGCAGGTATTACATGTTGTTGTTGTTATTTTTTGTAAAGCAAAAAAACTTGTCCACCCTGACCCCGATTCTTTAAGGTCACTCAATAAATTGATTGTTTTTTGCTGGGTTGGACATTGACAGCTGTAGTGCTGTTAGTTGTTCAATGCTGTTGGCAACACGTGCAGCGTGGTTCATTACATGATGGAGATGTGTGAAATTCTTCATGCATGTTTGAATTTTCCAGCTGCATCCATCCCACACAACTTCAAAGGCTCCTCATCTAAGAGATAATTGACCCAGTTAGAGGAGAATGTAACTACCTGTGTCAGACACGTTAATGCTCTGCTCCAACCGGTTATTCTCAAGATCCTGCTTAAGTGTCAGCTACTTTCTCAGCAATATTTGTTTAGTCTTATTCTTTTTTTTTGCTTCAGTGATGTGTAAATAGTGTTGAATTATTTTCCTGCCAATGTGGGAGTTTTTATTTTTCGTAACGCTGTTCGCATGTTATTTTTACTTGATGGGTACTTCATTATGGATAACTCTGACATCAGTTCAAGAACACATTATGTAACACTTGAGTTCTCAACAGTTACACCTTTTCAGTTTTTCACTGATGTCATTGCAGTGTATTATAGAATTACTAGACTTGCTGTACATGATGCCTAAATTAGTATCTTATGTGATAATTGAACATTTCTATTGCATGTGTGTATGTGTACATCAGGAGCAGTACTTTGCCTTGCGCCCGGAGCTGAGGAACCGTGACTATGGTGACATCAGCGAGCGGGTCGCTATTCGGAAGCGTCTACAGTGTCATTCCTTCAAGTGGTACCTGGACAATATCTATCCTGAAATGCAGGTCTCCTCCCCACACAAGCCCCAGCAGCCTGTCTTTATCAACAAGGGTTTGAAGAGACCCAAAGTCTTGCAGCGGGGTCGGGTAAGACCTTTACGGGTATTTCCCGTACCCTGTAGCTCTGTTGCTCAATAATTGGTTTGGCTGTTGTTTTCTAGATTTGACTCTCACAGCATACAAACACTCTCTCTCTCTTTTTGGGAGTCATTTTAATCTTTCCATTACTGTATTCAAAGTGAAAGAAGTGAATACAGAGCTGTGTGAAATGAACGGACAGCTGTCTGTTTAAACAGCAGAGGGCAGTCTTGAACAGTAACTGGTCAGACGATTCATTAAGTCCACTGATGGTTTGCATAATTTTCACACTACATTAGTGTTATACAAGAGAATATTTAGAATATCATCTGATTTTGCATTTTGTTAGTTATCATTATGTACTGTATTAATGGACTGGTAAGTGATGGTTTAAGTGTTGCTCTATGAAAGCAACCAATTAACAGCATTTTATGTCAAACTTAAAATCAACTTTAAATTAAAATTGACCTAATTTACCTACCTTATACATGTTCCTGGTTGTATTGTAAGTGATTGGTATGTGTTTATCTCTTTTCAGCTCATGTCACAAATCCCTCTTATTTTCGTCCTGTTCTTTCAATCAACCACTTTTCACACTCCAGTCAAAATTTGAAAATCTGAGACGACTTGCAGAAAACTTACAGAAATGAGTCATTTATTTATCACATTTCAAATCTAAAAGACAACTTTTTTTTTGCATACCTGTCAATAAATATAAATGTATTGCAGTGATGCATTCCCCAGACCATATGATAAAATATTCGTAGGGGTTGTTTAAATGGGCTTTTGCAAAGATCATTTGTGTGTGTGTTCTCTTTCAGCTGCGTAATCTTCTGGCTGACAAGTGTCTGGTGGCACAGGGGCGTCCCAGTCAGAAGGGAGGTGCTGTGGTGGTGAGAGACTGTGACCCACAGGACCCTGAGCAGGTCAGTTCATCAAACCGCTGGCATTCTCTGATAATTATAGGCAGCTATGAAGTGAATTTTGCTGATGATTTGCTTCTTTTTGCAGCTCTGGTTATTTCTACTTGTAGTAATCCTTAGTAATGCTTGAAACACATACAGGTGCATCTCAATAAATTAGAATGTCGTGGAAAAGTTAATTTATTTCAGTAATTCAACTCTTCAAAATTTGGGGTCATTGATCAATTTAATGTGTCCTTGCTGAATAAAAGTATTAAAGTAACGTGAAGGCATTTATGTTTCAAAATATTTACATTTCAATAAATGTTTTTCTTATTAACTTTCTATTCATCAGATTTAACAAATCCACAAAAATATGAAGCTGCACAACTGTTTTCAACATTGGTAATAAGAAATGATTTAGAACATGAATGCAGGATATTCCGATGATTTCTGAACGATCATGTCACTGAAGACTTAAGTAATTCTGCTCTGCCATCACAGGAATAAGTTACATTTTTAAATGTATTTAGTTCATATTTAAATGAATATTTAAATTAGGAGTAAATCTTTCACAATATTACATTTTTCTGTGTTTTTGATTAAATAAATGCAGCCTTGATGAACATAAGAGGCTTTGGAAAAAAACAAAACCTTACAGACCCCACACTTTTAATGATGTGGAATGATGCCTATTGTTTAAAATCTGTTTTTTTTTTCTCAGCTAAAAAAACTGATTGTTGTTATATGCCATAGTTAGACAGACTGATATAAACAAAACGTAGACAATTGTACTAGGATTGCAAAATGATGAACCGCGATTAATCGCTTTCAAAATAAACGTTTGTTTACATACTGTATGTGGGTGTGCTGTGTATATTTATTATGTATATATAAATACACACACATACATGTGTATAAAGGAAAATATTAGATTTATATATAACGTATTTGTATTTATATATATATATAATATAAATTATATACAAGTATACATATAAATATATATATATATATACATACGAATATTTTTTTAAATGTATATGTATGTATTTATATATACGCAAGTATACACAGTACACACACAAAGTATGTAAACATAAACGTTTATTTTGAATGCGATTAATCGTTTTGCAGCCCTAAATTGTACTGTTAAACAAGTTTGATAAGTCTGAAAAGAAACCGGTTGAAATGTATCATTATATCTAAAGATATCAGAAGACCATATTTTCAGTTTTATGATCAGCGCAGTGTAGATGTTTTGTAATTTTGATCTGTGTTTTTGTGTGTGTTTTGCAGGAATGGGCCTATGATGAGGAGCATGAGTTAATTCTAGCCGGGCTGCTGTGTTTGGACATGTCTGAGATTCGTTCTTCTGACCCGCCGCGCCTCATGAAGTGTCACGGCTCAGGTGGATCTCAGCAGTGGACGCTGGGGGTGAGAAATCTTCCCGTTACTGTCTTTTACTTCATGTATCCCCTGTACACTAGGGCTGCAACTACCAGCTATTTTGAATGCAAATTGAAGGCTATATAAATATAAATACATACATGGTATGCTAAAAAAAAAGTAACAATATATAGTAATGTACACTTCATGCTTATTGTATAGGCCCCATTATGTGCTCTGCTTCATATGCCATGTGTAATTAAATGAACAAAATAAGTATAATAATAAATGTTTTTTTTGTCCTCTCAGAAAAATAACTGGCTATACCAGGTGTCAGTGGGCCAGTGTTTGGCTGTTGCTGACCCTCTCAGCATCAAAGGATATGTTACCATGGCGATCTGTGATGATTCCCGGTCCCAGCAGTGGCAGTTAGAGGGTTGAGGATGCTGGAAGTGTGAGGAACAGCTATAGCCCCCTCTGGCTGGGGATTGAACTGCACCGCCACAGTGCCACCAGCTCAGAAACGGAAAACAGACCCTTGCCAGTCCAGACCACTGTGACAGGATGTTGTGAGGGCCTACGGTGAGAAGGAGCTCAACTCTGTTTCAGCTTTGGACTGAAGCTTTCTTGACCCATATTCTTTACTCAGAAACAACTATTTTTAGAAAGTATTTTAAAAATCGTGTTTATTCAAGAATTTGTACGTTTTAATTTGCTCTTGAAATGTAAACGATTTGCACAGAAAAACTATTTTCGATGTCTGGATAATCATAGTCTGCTAGATTTTAAGTTCGACATTTTTAATTGAGTGCACCATTTCTTAGCATTACTTAATTGTATTTGTCTTTTTTTTTTTTCAATCAAGTTAACGTAAGCCTGTAATTTTGAATTTCTTCGTCTGATTTTATTTGATTTCATGATCACTGGATTTACCTTGACCTTAATAAATTGCAAATGTATTGGGTCGTTCTGTAATGGGTTCATATTTTCTTATTATTGCTGGTATTCCAATATAGATGAGTTCAGTAGAACAGCCTAAATAATAAAATAATAAAACCAATCAGCATTGGTAAGCTACTTTATTACAGTTAGTATTAAAACAAGTGGCTTGGAAAAGAGATGGACGGACAGTATTTTTCAACTCTTAATCATTTTGGACTGACCATGAAAGCTTCAAGTGTCTTCATGGATGAAGGTACGAAAAATTGAAAAAGTCCTATGTGAATGTAAACTGCACTTATTGTCATTTTGTACATGGAATTGCAAATAAAACTGTATAAAAACATTCACCAGTTGATTTATTTGTATGTTTTTGTAAAGAGTCATCTGTGTCCTGCCCATACCGATAAGTACCGATAAGTAATATTTGCACATATATGTCGATTGAATAGCAATAATCTAGCTTTTTGAGTCAGTACATTCAGAGAGTTCAGAGAGACCCTGTGGTTGAGTGCTCTGTTGCATGGGCAGAAAAAAAAATTATTAGACATGTGCAGTGGTAGTGTTTTGACAGATTTGAATAATGCAGCCCAACTAGAAGGGGCCAGTGGGCCAAAAAGAAATGAGATGTCGCTAAGACATCGACAGCTCGTTGAATGAATGTGTGAATGGTAGACGGAAACATCTCGTTTCACTAAAATCCGCAATGACCACAGTTTACAAAACCCAGTGCCAGCAAAAGAACTGTGCACAGTCACCATGACTCTTTTCTGCTGCTAGTTCTGCCGTTTGGGTGCTTCTCGTTTCCAAAATAATAAAACGTGCCGCAGACGGCTCCGGAGGATGAATAAAGGCCCCCTGTAGCGAATCCATGTGTTTTTGTAAGAAAAATATCCATATTTCAAACGTAATAAACACTTTTCTCTCACTTCTGTTATCTGTCACACGCGGAAGACGTTCTGGTGTCGTGCCAAAAATTGATCGTCTCCCGAAAACTGATTGGCGCCTATAATCACTTTTTGGCAAGTGTAAAACTGCATTTTATGTATGCAGTCCTTTTTACCTGTTGAAATACCCATAAAACACAGTTTTACACTTGCCAAAAAGTGATTACAGACTCTACTTATTGAGTGAACTGTTCTTTCTGACTCAAAATGACTTGATTTCATTCATGGCTGTTATATTTGATAGATTATAGCTCATTCAGTCCTTTTTACCTGCTGAAATACCTTTAAATGGCCAATAAAACCCATAAAATGC